CAATGTTTTGTTTTGTTTTTAAAGAGATTGGGAAATATTTCAAGTCTTCTCTTAACTGCTGTCTAGAGTTCGCCTGAAGAGAAAGAAATTATATATTTTGTGATTGACAATAATGCAGTAATGGTTAGAAATGGGATATTCACCTCTTTTCAGAAAATGGAACTATGGTAGAGATTCTTGGCCTGTATTTCACTTTTCTGTGGTCAGACCGTTGTGTGGAAGTAGAGAATCTAGTGTATTGAGATTTTCATCTTTTGTTTTCTTCCCTTGAAAGTTTGTCAGACTTATGACAGTAAAGAAACACTTTGTGTGGTGGGCAATGTGTAAAGAGTAGGGGATGAAATGGTTGGAGCACAAGAGATATCAGTACATATAATTGATTCTTACCATGTCCTGGTCTAAAACATGGAAATATATTATGCAAAATAATATAATTTGCTGTATTTCTTGGTTTGCAAAGTTGTCTTTCTCTTTTTGTTTGTACCTTTCAGTTTTGTTTTGTTTTACTATACCAAGACCTGACTGGCTGTAAGGCTATGAGGTGCCTTTTACTCCTATCCTGTTTTCTCCTTGCTTGTCAAAAAGTCAAGAAGCTATTTCTTAGGTCACCTGAAGTGATTCTGCTTGCCATGTTTTGGACAGCTACATTAATGAGAGTAGTCAGAAAATTGGCTAGGTCTGTCCCTTATCATTAACTCTCAGTTGATCATCTAGGAGCTAATGATTAACTTCATGAAAATTACGTTTTTTTCATTATTCCATAAGGAGTTTAAATGAAACTATCCATTTTGCTCAGGAGACTTGGTGGCAAAGCTACTCCCTCTAACAAAAAGCTGCTTTTCAAGCTGTAACTAAAACTGAATGAAAGTCTGATTTTGGCAGGTTTAGGTGAGCTGAGTAAAGTTAGATGATATGTGTGCAAGATGTCTATAATTGTATGACTCTACTCTTATTGCATTCAGTATATATTAACTAGTTCCAATTACAGAGAGGTGAGGAGAGGTCTTGTGTGGTAATGTAACTACCTCATGAGATCTTCTTAGGGCCCCAAATAGCACTTTCTAAACTTCAAATTATCTCATCTCATGTGAGCTGTGAATTTTGATGAATCCTTTAAAAATGAATTGAAAAAAAGTCTCCGTCTACACCAGGTATGGACATTTCCTGGCTGGGATGACCATATGGTAGCTCTCAGCTATAAAGACAGTAAAGCTGAGGAATTGGAGGGGGGGGTTGCCTGTAATTCAGCATTAACATCGTTGAATATGCGGGGATTCTAACCCATGCTTTTAAGTATTAAGTCATAGGCCTGGAGGGAAAAATCTGTCAATTTTGGTTTCTCCCACTGTGGAATTTATTTATTATTTCCATTCTGAATATGAAGAAGTTGGCGACTTTCAGTAAGGTCTTGCAAAACCTGAACAGAAACAAAATCCTCAGCTATTCTTAGTATCAGCATATAATTTTCTCAGCTCCTCTAAGGCTCTAGCAATTTGTTCATCTTCACTGGAGCTGGTGAAGTGGCTGAGACCTCACCAAGTTCTGGGTTGATGAGAAGGCATCAACCCACCGCGTTGCTGTCAAATTATTTCTGAGGCTTATTGGTAGAGCTGGAAATCACCCTGCATTTCTTTCTAGTCACTAATATAATATGAGTCCTGCAAGATGTGTGCCAGTTTCCTATCCATGGACAAAGAAAGGAAATCCCATAGGTACAGTCACGTATAGTGAATTGCTGTGTGCACGGCTCAGCATCAGTGAGATTGATGATCATATACAGTGGTGCCTCGCTTAACGATTGCCCCACATTATGACAAAATCACTGTACGACAATCTTTTTGTGATCACAAATGATGGTCTAAATAGGGTTTTTTTCACTTTGCGGGGATTGGTTCCCTGCTTCGGGAACCGATTCTTCGCAAAATAATGTGTTTTTTAACAGCTGATTGGCGGTTTCAAAATGACCACCGGGAGCTTAAAATGGCTCCCCGCTGTGTTTAGGGACGGATTCCTCTCTATACAGGCAGCGAAAATGGCCGCGGTATGGAGCATCTTCGCTGAACGGTGAGTTTTTACCCTGTTTCAATGGGTATTTATTTCTTTTTACGATATTTTCGCTTAACGGCGATTTTCCTGAAACGGATTATCGTCGTTAAGCGGGGCACCACTGTACCAACTTGAATGCACCATTCTTGTCTTATGGGGGACACTAAATAGGCCTCAGTCTGCTTGATACGTGGATAGCATACAAGCAGGGAATACCAGGGATCTCCATTTCAGCCCCACAGAGCCGCTGTTCAGAGAGTTGACAATCCGCCTCACTATAAGGCAGTTTGTTGTATTCCTTAGAGGAATTATGGAGGGAAATGTATATTTTATATCTAACAGCCATTTTTCTGATATACACAAAAAATCTTTCCTGTATACCACTGGTTTTCATTTGTTGGATATTTAATAACAGATTTGATTGCATCGTCACTGTGCAAAGTAACGTACAAGGACACCCAAGCTAATATGGAGCTCTCTAGGGCTTTGTAGCACCTGCAAATTTACAAGTGTGGAATAAGAGCTTAAGTGGTTACATTGAATCTATGATATAATTTAACATTATTTTGATAGAATTACTGTATTGTATCTCGATCATTATATTGTTATTATAGTTATTTTGATTGTTGTCTTATTGAATGATAATTGCTCACTGTATATTTTTATCATTGTAACCTTCCCCTAAAAGAAATAAATATTGGCTAAATAGTGTGGAAATAAACAGTAGAATAGAGTGGAATGGAAATGAGGATAAAAATTAGCTTTCCCTTCTTTAGTTAAAGTGCTTTTCTTTGGTAGATACCAGTTGCTACCTTTTGTACCCCCCCTTTTTAGACCTCAAGCAAATTGCTTTCCATCATCTGGATGCCGGCATTAAGTCTCCACCGATTCTATTAATCTCAAATCCTGTAAAGATGTGCCTTCACGCCAAAGCAACAGCACTTTCCTATTGAATGTAAATGTTCTTTAGCTTAAAGTTGCCCAGTGTGGACTTTTATTCTGAATTCTTTATGTGGGGCTTTGCAGAAATTAGAATTTGCAAGGAACAGCATGTTTGCAGGAGAAATGATATAATTAAGTATTCCATGAGGACTGTGGAAATGTGACAGGAAGCTACAAGAAAGTAAGTTTGAGAAACTAG